AAAAGGGAGAGGCCCGGAAAAAAAAAAAAAAAAAAAAAAAAAAAAAAGAAGTATGCTAGAGGTCAGAGAGAGCTGAGAGAGGGATGTCATAGAGGGAGGCCCATCACAGAGGGCAATGCCTTGGTCCCCTCAGTGGCCCTCAGCTCAGAAGCACAAGGTTCTCAGTCCACACAGACTTGATCTTGCTTACGGGGGCTAATTCATGCTAAAGAGACTCACAGACACCCGTAACTAAACAATCGTAAAGCCAATTTAATAACTTACTTTTTCGATAGCTATTCATATCTGCCGTCCAGGACATTGCCTGAAATGCATTAATTCGGGCACTCATTTGACAAGGATTTCATAAGCACCAAGTACCCATTATTTAGCAAACTGTGAGCACCTGGTTGGGGGAAAAACGCAGCCAAAGGTGGTGGAGACCCAGAAATGGGAGGTGCAATTGTGCAATGAGCTTGGCGTCAAGCTAGTGTTCAAACGCGGTCAACTATTTACTAGACAGGTGACTGGGAAAATTACTTAACCTTCCTGAGTCTCTTTCCTCACCTGTAAGATGGGCATAACAACACTCCCTCACATAATTGTTAAAGAATTAAATGGGATTACACATGCAAATTGACTAGTTTTATTTATGGTTATATTCATCTGGAGAGGCTGTGTCATACAATGGTTAAGGGAACAGACTTTGTGATCAGACAGATCTGGGTTTAAATTCTAGATCTACCACTTACTAGTGTATGATCTTCGGCAAGTTGCTTTTTTCCGGTAAGCCTCAATTTGCTCATCTGTAAAATGGGAATAAAAATTCCTCATGGGTCAAAGAAGTAAATAAGATAGTGTATTCAAAGGACTTCGAAAATCCTAGGTTACGAGAAGCATTCAACAAATGGTTATGTTTGAGTTGTTTTTAAACGTTGTCCATGATTAGACACAATGAATGGTACACATACTAAAAATTAAAGTTAAAATTAGTACAAGCTTCTTTAATGAAATTAAATATGGGGCCATCAAACATTACACAAAAAAGTGATCACTTTGTATTTAGTTGTTAAAAAAAAACTTTTCTGTGGAAGCAGGCCTCTAACCTCAGGTAGTTTCATGTCCACATTTTCAAGTTTCTAAAATAATGTCATTTGTCTGCAGCCATGCAAAAACTCAGTTTCAGTACTGCTAAGTCAAGCCCCAGGGAGAACCAGAGAAGCGCATTTGGGATCTTTCTAGTTTGTCTGACGGGAACCCGGGTACCCATAAAGCATTATGCATTTGGTTTAACGATTACACACCAACGTATACACTGTGTGATTACAACAGAAGCCCCTGCAGCAATGAACAAATCACTTCTCTCAATTCTGGATCATCCCTTTGATTAATTCTCCCCACTGACACTGTCAATTTTTTTTAATTAATTAATTTTTGACTGCCTTGGGTCTTCGTTGCTGCATGCAGGCTTTCTCTAGTTGCGGGGAACGGGGGTTTCTCTTCGTTGCAGTGCCCGGGCTTCTCATTGCGGTGGCTTCTCTTGTTGCGGAGCACGGGCCCTAGGGCGCAGGCTCAGTAGTTGTGGCGCACGGGCTTAGTTGCTCCGCGGCATGTGGGACCTTCCCGGACCAGGGCTCGAACCCGTGTCCCCTGCATTGGCAGGTGGATTCTTAACCACGGTGCCACCAGGGAAACCGACACTGTCAATTTTTAAGTGGTTTACAAAGCTTATAAAACCATGTCCGAGTAATCTTCAACTTTGATAAAAATCAAAACATCTTTCAATTCTAACCTTGCAAATTCGAATGTTGTAAAACAAAGGTCAGCCCCTTATCCACCTCACCCTGTCCTCAGTAACATTGCTATTTCATCCAGATCCGGGAAACCACACTGCCGCCCAGGACACTGCTGCAACCGCTCAGTTATTTGGCTCTTGCTCTAGAGTCAAGTATGTTTTCACATTTCAGAGTGGACTCAGTGCATTTTTACAGTCGCAACCGAAATTTTACACAAAATATTAAGTATCTGAAAGAATTGGCGAGTTTCTGTAATCATATGAACAGAACTAAAATGTGAGAGGCTCTTTGTAAATAGTAATCGTTTTCCAGCGAATACACTGGAACATCGTTAGGAACACCTGTTTTCGGCTTTCCTTTGCCGGGCAAGGAGGTCAATTTGTAAACACTGGAGAGGAGGATTCCACAAACGGTAACCTGTTGTGAGGCTTATTTTCAGCAAAGTGACGGTGGAGCACGAGAACATGGAGGACCCCCTCCCCCCAGCCCCAGGATCGGTTCAGGAGGCCCCGGAGTTACGAACTAATTTGGTGTTTTCCTCTTTAGAAAACGGGTGGACGTGAGCGACCAGCCAAACTAGGCTTGCAGGCCGGGCGCTGCGGAGGGAGCGAGGCGGGCGGTTGAGTCACGATCGCCGCGGCCACGCACACCTGAGCTTCGGAGGATAAAAGGCGGCACCTGGGACGAAACACCCAGGCCCTCCAACCTTCGCCCTCTGCCCAGGCCTAGGGGAGTGGGGAGGAAAAGCAACTTCTTTCTCAAGACTCGACGACGGGCGTCCCCAAGGAACGGAAGGGGCAGAGAGAAACCCCCGAGAGTTCCCCCGCCCGGAGCGGGAACTCGTGCGGGAACGCGGCCTCGGGAGCCGCAACGCCGCTGCCAAACAAGCGGGGGAGGGGGGCCAACCGCCATCTTCCTCGAGCGCCCAAACCGACAAAGCGCGAGACAGCGACAGAGCTTCCCCGCCGCGGCCCGCCCACTCTCGCGAGCCCGCGAAGGCCTCTGGGAAAAGCGGGGGAGGGGAAAGCGAGAGAAGGAAGCCGGGTTGCAGGGCTGGAGGCGGGCCGAGGCGGCGAGCGGAGCCTCAGGAAGCAGAAGGGGCGGGGAAAGACGCGACTGACGCGAAATGCTGGCCAATGACGAGCGAGCTCGGGTGGACGGCCAGCCAATGGGCTGTGCGGCCTGGCGCGGGGGGCGGGCGCTGGGGCCGAGGGTAGCTTGAGCGCGGCGGCGGCGTTGTTCAGTCACAGCGAGAACATTCCAGAGGTGAGTCCGGTGGAGGGGCGGAAGCCCCAGGCCCGGTCCCCCGTTCTCCCTGCACCCTCGACCTCCGCGGGCCGCTGGCTGGCGGGGAAGGCTCCCCGACGCCCGCGGCTCACTGCGCCTTCTCTCCGCGCCAGGTCGCCAGGCCCCGGGCGCTGAAGGGTGTGGACCCCGGACGTCGCTGGGACAGCCCCTCCCCGCTGCTCGGCGGCGCCTGGCCCGGCCGCTGCTCGCTGCGCTGCCTCCGCCGCCTCCACCGCCGCTCCTCGGACTCGGGTTCGCGCGCGCCTCACTTCATCCCAGTCCCGGGCGAGCAGCGTTGGGTTTATGTCTTTATTTGACGAAAACGGTGAGTCGGCGGGGAGATGGCGGCCGCACAAGATGGCGGCGCGCCGCGTGACCCGCGCGCGCGCGCGCTTGTGTGTGGGAGCGCGCGTGTGTGGCGCAGTTTGGGCGGGCGGGCGGCGGGGCCGGGCGCCGCGTCCCCTCCTGTCCTCACACCGCCCCCCGCCCCCGCCTGTACCCCACCCCCACCTGTACCCCACCCCGGCCTCGCGGGAGCGCGCCGCGCGGGCCCGCCGCCGCCCGGGGCTGACTCAGGCCTAATTGCTGCATTCCTGAGTCATCGCCGCGGCGGGGCGGGGGCGGCCGGGCCGGCGGCCCTCGGCCGGTTTCGCTTCCCCCGCCGGGCGGCGCACATGGCGGGGCTGCCGCGGGCGCCGGAGAAGCTGGCGACGTTGCGCCTCCGCCGCTCCCGCCTCGCGGGGGCCTCCGGCTCATCCCTGACAGCCCTGGAGGGAACGACGGGCGCGGGGACGGGAGCGAAGGTTGCGGGTGCGTGTGCGTAGAGAGAAGGGACAGGGGGTCACGGTCGGGGCCGGGCGTCCGCGCACGCTCCGCGGCGTCCCGCGAGGCCGCGTTCCGTGGGTGTAGTTGGGGACGGGTGGCTCTGGAGTAAGCCCTGGCTGCCGAAGGCGCAACTTGACCGTGAAGAACAGTTGTACAGACTTTCGTCGTCGAGGGATGTATCACAAGTTTGTTGACAACGCGGACTGGGTTGGGGAGAGGAGACGCCTGTCTGTGTTCGTTCCTCGGCGGCCGTTAAAGCACGGCTCCTCGGCCGAAGCCGACCGTTGACGTGGTGACTGGTGGGATAAAAACCCAGAGCAGCTGAAGCGCCGTAGTTGGTTGTCGTTTTAGTCTGGTGGCTCCCAGAATCACATCTGCGTCCAAATGGAGGCCTTTTATGTTGCTGCAGGTGTCCCGTGTTACGTGAGTCTGAGAACTGGTTTTTGGGTAGCACAGATGCTTTTAACGTTGGAGCCTTAGGTGTGATTAAACGGAAAGGACAGGGAGGTGTCTTAATGCAGGGATCGCGTTAAACGTGGGGGATTTGTTTGTTCTTTCTTCTCTCTTTCAGAGCTGTTGCGCAGCCATTGGTACCTGTATTGGGGAAACATAGCATACAAGCAAGAAGCTTACAGCCTCAGTGGCGAAAAATTTTTCATGTCAGAGACCGAGAACTCTTGCAGTCGTTTATGTCATCCCTTCTTCTCCAGACAGAGGATACCAAAAAGTTGCAATCAAAGATCTCTTCATCTTATTGATAAAGCCACTAATAAGCCAAAATGTCTGTCAACGTCAACCGCAGCGTGTCAGACCAGTTCTATCGCTACAAGATGCCCCGTCTGATTGCCAAGGTAACGTTCATCTTCATTTTAGTAGCAAGTCCTAAGTTTTCTTCATAGATTATTGAAGATTGCTTCTCCCGGGGTAGACGCGCAAAATTAAACTTCTTACTTCCTTTAGGTTGAGGGCAAAGGAAATGGAATCAAGACAGTTATAGTCAACATGGTTGACGTAGCCAAAGCGCTTAATCGGCCTCCAACGTGTAAGTAATGCCTCTTGAAAGAAGTCTAAAGAGGCATTTTATTGACACAAACCTGATAATTTCTGGTCCGCAAAATCTTGCCTGAATTGTATGTTGGTTAACTTCTGGGTCGAGTGGAAATTTGGGCTTAAAACTCATTGATGTGTTAGTTGTTACTAGTATAAAAAACTATCTGGGCAACACATTTTTTGAACCTAGCAACTTAAAAATACAGAGTGATATTTGTATAAATGAGGGTGAGCAGCCAAAGATCAATTTAGTTAACTGTAATGAACAGATTTTCTTCCCCCAAATAGATCCCACCAAATATTTTGGTTGTGAACTGGGAGCACAGACCCAGTTTGATGTTAAGAATGACCGTTACATTGTCAATGGATCTCATGAGGCGAATAAGCTGCAAGACATGTTGGATGGATTCATTAAAAAATTTGTTCTTTGTCCTGAGTGTGAGAATCCTGAAACGGATCTGGTGAGTGCCTTTGAGGTTTTTGTCAGTAAAAGAAAAAACTGTATCTGTTTCTGTGATGTCAGCAAATTATGTTCCCGGGAAGGCAGAGCGAACATCACATTTTGCAGGTATTTCCATACTGATTTCATGTTAAAAAAAAGAAATTATTTTGATATTAGACTTGTGTTTTAGATGCCTCTTGATGGTTAGATCTTTTCATATTTTGTTCCTCACAGAATTTTCATCATATATTATGATTGACATAACTTATTTTTGCTTTTTTGGCAGCATGTCAATCCAAAGAAACAAACAATAGGTAATTCTTGTAAGGCCTGTGGCTATCGAGGCATGCTTGACACACATCATAAACTCTGCACATTCATTCTCAAAAACCCACCTGGTAAGTGCTTATGATAACTTCTAAAATCTTGGCATAAAGCACCTGATAGATGGAAACAATGGAAGTTTCTTTACTGCTGTAAAACTGGAGTGAGGTTGACCTTTGAATACCTGCACAAGTGAAAATTTGCCTATAACAATAGGGTCAGCCTTATACATCCAAGGTTCAACCAACCATGGATGGTGTGAAACTGTAGTGTGTATTTATTGAGGAAAAAAAAACTCCATGTAAATGGACCTGTGCGGTTTAAACCTGTGTTGTCCAAAGGTCAACTGTTTAAGAAATTTCTAGTCATTGTGCCATATTTCACTGAATTTTGAACTTTTTTGTTAAATGTACTGTTTTATGTATTGTTAAAGGTGAAGTACAGGCTGCCAATTAAACTGTACCACATTCTCGATTTTCAAGACGTTAGTATGTATGACATACTGTAAAGCAAATTGTAATGGGATCTTAGTAAAGGATCGACTTCTGGAAAACTTTTGTAAATGTGGGTCTTTGCTCATTAAGCTAAAGTGGTTTTAGAGCATGCAAGCAACACTCTGTGGCAGATGATCAAAACTCTGACACAATTTGAGCTTGCTATAGCAAGAAAGTCTAACCTATTCCGGTGTTCTCTTCTCCGTGAGACGAGCCGTTATATAGGCTTAAACAGTGTTCCAGCTGTTGACTAAAGTGCGGTTAAGAAATACCCTTATTTAAGTTCATGACGGATGGAAGGAGAGGGTCGTGAGTGCCACTTTAATTACCTGGTCTTCTGAGGTATTACCATTCAGTCTTAATTTTACCCAATAGTTAATACCACTGATAGGTAGGGACATTTCCATTCTCAGCTTGAGTTGCTTACCTGTGAAATATAGTGGATGAAATTGATTTGTGAATTCATTTAGAATTATAGGTAGCATTCTGTGTGTGGTTTTCTGAGGGGAGGGTTTCAAAGCAAAAGGGCAAGATTTTAAATGTTCACGATGGGCGATGAGGTGTAATATAAGTTACGGTACTAAACTTTATTTCCTTTTTGTCCCTGTAGAGAATAGTGACAGTGGTACAGGAAAGAAAGAGAAGGAAAAGAAAAATAGAAAGGGCAAAGACAAGGAAAATGGTTCCATGTCCAGCAGTGAGACACCACCACCACCACCACCACCCAGTGAAATCAGTCCTCCGCATGCTGTGGTCAGTGCAAGGTTGATGGGTGTGGTGGGCACTAAAATTGTGTACAGTGTGACCTTTGGTTGAGGTGAGCAGAAATGAACTGCTCTTCAGTGAACAATACATCAGTATATTGGGTTCCAGGTGCTATTCGTTGACTAAACTAATGTGAACACAAGTTTAGTGGGAAGTTGATGTTGTTGACTAGAAATCTGGGATTTCTTTTTATTACCTATAAGGTCGTTTTTTTTGGCCAAGCAGTTTTGTTTTTAAAAACAGGAAGAAGAGGAAGATGATGATTGGGGGGAGGATACAACAGAGGAAGCTCAAAGGCGAAGAATGGACGAAATCAGTGACCACGCGAAAGTTTTAACCCTCAGTGATGATTTGGAAAGGACTGTTGAAGAGCGTGTCAATATCCTGTTTGATTTTGTTAAGGTGAAATGCTTGCTTCAAGAACAGTTAAACATTTCGTGATCATACTAAATAAGCTTCTACCCATCCCTGAGCTTTGTTAGATATTACTTTAAGCTGGGTACTTGGCAGGTAGTTTGTTGTGTTTTTTCCATGCTTCCTTTTGAAATACTCAAATACAAGTCTCACCTTTACTTCTATTCCGAAATTTTTTTGAGGGTGGTTCCAGGCATTGTTTTCGGCAGGTGTGTATTATTTAGAAGTCCTAGAACCTTCTTGAATTAGGTAGGGGAAGAGTTCGTAAGAGCACGGACTGTGGTATCTCTAGAGCAAAATGTGCTTCCATCTCACTGAATTGCTTCCTTTTATTTGCAGAAAAAGAAAGAAGAGGGTGTTATTGACTCATCTGACAAAGAAATTGTAGCTGAAGCAGAAAGACTGGATGTAAAAGCCATGGGCCCTCTTGTTTTGACTGAAGTTCTTTTTAATGAGAAAATTAGAGAGCAAATTAAGAAATACAGGCGCCATTTCTTACGAGTAAGCGAATCATTCTAGATTCATAAGATTTTACAGCTGTGTGACCTTGGAAATACTGATTTAACCTCGTTTATTTGTACTGTCATCCTGAAAATGGAGATAATTGACCTACCTTAACAGGAATGGGAGTACCTGGAAATTGGTGCATGTAGTCCCTTATACGTAAAGTAAATTAGAGATCTTTAAGCATTGATCTCTCTGAATGACTGCTGTAGGGCCATGGCTTCAAAGAACAATTTCTAAGGCAGTAAGTTTAGAACATATATTAGAATTGTCAGCTTAAAACATCTAAGAAAGCTTGTTAATGCCGAGATATTTATTTGCAGTTTTGTCACAACAACAAAAAAGCTCAACGGTACCTTCTTCATGGCTTGGAGTGTGTGGTAGCAATGCATCAAGCTCAGCTCATCTCCAAGATTCCACATATCTTGAAGGAGATGTATGATGCAGACCTTTTGGAGGAAGAAGTCATCATTAGCTGGTCAGAAAAGGTGGGGAATATTTAAATGGCTCTTTAAGATTAGAAGTATTGGGGCTTTTTTGGAAGAAGTAGTTAACTACTAATACCTAGTCTGTACATGCTTGACTGGTATAACCTGTAGGGTGATTCTCATCATGGTAGCTTTCTAGTAAGGTTTCTAGAAAACCTTGTGCTGAATACATTTATTCTGCTGAGGGGTCAAGATTAGGATGTGGCCCAGTCCCCTCAAAGAGATGTATTTGGGCAATTATATAAATGACTCGCATTATTTTAAATTCCTTGAACTAAGAAAATTATACTGAACACTTTTTAGGCCTCTAAGAAATATGTCTCAAAAGAACTTGCCAAAGAGATTCGTGTCAAAGCGGAACCTTTTATAAAATGGTTGAAGGAAGCAGAGGAAGAATCTTCCGGTGGTGAAGATGATGATGAAGATGAGAACATTGAGGTAAACGCTGGGGAAATCGTTAAATACAGTGTTAGTGGTGGGTGTTTGAGAATTATAAAATGCCAGTATTGGGTAATACAGCCTCTTAATTTGGAAAGTAATCACATTAATAGAAAAGGTGCTGGAAATCTCTCCTGCCCCCAGGCATTGATTCCAAATAAACATTGTCTGAATTTCCAAAGGGAGAGTTTATTTAACGTAAGTATAGGGTTGATCGTTCATAAAAATAAGGTACTGTTAGGCTGCGGAGGGTTAACTTACTTTTTACATAACACACAAATTTTCATGAAGAATAATGGCTTTCTCTAGGTAGTTTTTGTCCTTTGTTGACCATTGACTTCTTAGTGGTTTTATTTTACAAGGGTTTACTGGGATAAAGGTTTACAATCAAAAATCTTCATTTTATCAGGTGGTGTATTCAAAGACTGCCAGTGTACCGAAAGTTGAAGCTGTGAAGTCTGACAACAAGGACGATGACATTGATATTGATGCCATTTAAAGGGGTGGGTGCAGCCCAGCTTAACAGTGTAATGCTGAGAATCTTTCTGCATCATCAGCCAGAAGTGCAACATGTATGTGCAAAAGCTAAAATGGCTTAACGTCATGCTACACTTTCTACTAAAAATGTATTGCTGTGAGTGGTCTGTATTTAAACCCAACAAGACATCTAGGGAGTCCATACGCATATCAGTGAGCAGATGTAGTTTGCTTATTTACAGCATGTTTCTTTTTGAAAATTTAGTGGTGGACACATTTGGGTCACATTTATACAGTTATAAAAATAAAGATTTGATTTTGGTCGTTCTTCAGATTTTTGGCTCTGAATGACTTAAGTAAGCTGAAATAATTGGCTCCTTTAAAAAATGTTGCACCATCATCTAATCTGATAGGATTATTGGAGCCTGTTAGTACTTTTAAGTCTTATTTCTAGTCCCTCAGATTGGCATCTGGTAATGTACATTCTTCCCATGCCAAGGTGGACTGATAATCAAATGACAGTGCAACACCTTTAACTTACTGAGATGTTAAAATGACCTGGGTGTCCTCTAAATAATTTTAAGAACAGGTTTTGAAACTTGAATTGTGTATTTTTTTTTCATTTTTTCTATGCTTGCCCCAAATTGTAGTCTTTGAAGTCATGTGCATTGCACGTTGGATGAGCCAGGGGAATTACTACATTAACATAAACATTTTATTATGTGTATGTAGCTCTTGCTTTATATTGAGAGAAAACTGAAACTTTGGGGAGTGATAAGTAAGCTCTACCATTTTATTTGGGGGAAGCAGGAAAAGGTACACTTAATCTCTAGCAAAAACTGAGCAAAATTTTTCAATGAATTTTACTCTTGATTCAAATTACAATTTCAAAATATTTAGACATAGTGTATCTTTTGTTCAGTGTGGATTTTTCCCCTGATAAACTGGTTCTTTGATGACTTCTGCATTTGGATACATAGCTTATACTTTATTGGTTTTTGTTGCTATCTTGCCAAAACAAGTGTTAACTGTATCTCAGATTCCCCCCACCCCCCAAAATGTCTTATTTTTAAAAACAAAGCATACTTCTAAGAGCCTATATTTTGGTGTAAGACTTGGGGTGTTTTTTATTTTCACAATGAATAGTGTGAGATACCCAGGAAGTCTGTGACGATGGCAACTGAAAGCAGGTGACTAGGGCCTGACCCAGCCCATCCTGGGCTTTAGGTTTGGAAATAACTTCTTGTGATTTGCTTGCCCAATTTGCTGATGTAAACTCACTTGATAGAAGGGCTTATGACTACATCTGAGAAATCATCTTGAGGATGCAAATTTACACAAAAAGTACACTGGGAATCAAAATGCGTGGAGAGCACTGGCTTATATCATTCACCTCTTTGTTTGTGATCCATCTCACAGATTACAATGAGACCTTAACAAATGTATGTAAGTTTTTTTCACATTGAAATTATATGAACATTTGGTATAATAAAACCTTGTTAGCTTGGTATTTTAAGAAATTAAACCCTGGCAGTCTTACTGGAGAGGTACAAATTGGTCTCCAGCTGCCTTTCTTGATAGATTTTGGTGAGGTTGAAGGAGAGCCATATACCTACCTGGAGGGGAATGTGCTTTGTCGCACCAAAGAGAAGAGGTTTTTGCAAATTCATGTCTCACCTAGGTTTTAAATTTCTGCCATTATCTGGAATTGTTCTGGGGGGATCAAGTTGCATTCAGCATACCCATTATCAAGCTAATGAGGTTCTGTTATAGAGGGTTCTTTTCCCCTTTTTCTTCCTCCCCCACCCCCTTAAATCTGAAGGAAAACTTACAAGGCTTCTAAACACTAAAGAGAAAATTTTGGCTTAGACCACTCTTCAGTCTAGTGCCAAACTTTCAGTGGAATTCACATCCACAGAGTAAGGAGTTTATTCATAGCAGCTATCCTAATAGAGTGATCTTTCACTTTGCTGTATTCAACTGTCTTAAAACTTCCTGTTTGAAACAGCTATGTTACGTGATTAAAACAACGTTAAAATCATTTTTTGTCTTTGCTTTAATATTAACCTAAATTTTCGTTTTTAAAATTGAAGCATTGAAATCTCCCCTTTTTTGTAGCTGTTGCTTCAGATTTGTGTTGGATGTTTCCTTCTGCAGTTGCCCCCTACTCAAAAACAGATGTTGCTCATTACAGTGGCTTTCCTTAGATCTCGTGTTCTTATTCTGTAACTCAAGTTGATTACAAACCAAAAAGGTCTGCTTTCATCTGGTTTCTTAAAATCTTGCCTGGGTGTTGATGAGGGACTTGAGGTGGGTCTGGTATATAGTTAAATAACTGGCTATAGCATTTAGCCTTAGTTAAGAAAGGAATGTTTCTAAAGTTATGAGGTTAATGAACTTGAAAGGTACTATTTGGGCTCCTAAAGGTTTGAGAGAGAATGGGTGTTCATCTAATGAATTGCTACAGCTTCACAGGCCAGTATTAAGAGTAACCCTAAAATGCAAAAATTTTGCCCAACCCCTGTATTGTCAGTTTTGATGGTTTTTCAGATTCCAGCCTATCTGACCACTCCAAAGCTTCAAAGCGCTCTCGGTACCAGGAACAGTAGTGCACTTGAATCTCTGCCCTCTCCAACTATCATGTGGTTTGTGTCCTGTCTTTCCTGAATGGACAGTCATGTTTATATCTTCTCTGTCCCCAGTACTCTGTATAGATCTTTCTCCTCCAAGAATGACACTCCATAAGACTTGCCAAAGTTGTTGTGTCTGACCTGTGCACAGTCTCCAGAATTTGTCCCTTTGAGCCTTTGTAGGAGGTTGGGAGCTCAGGCATTGTGGCCACCTGCCTCAGGGTTCTATATTCCAGCCCTAGCCCAACAAAGGTCTTCAGAAAGATTGCTAGTTCTTCACAGCCAGAAAATTGAACCATTCCTATGTACTAGCATATGGAAATAACACGGAGAGGTTCTTTCCTCAGAACCCAAACCAGGACTCGTACATTGTTCTCAATGACTAGTATTCGGTTATGCGTTCTGAGTTTATGGGGCATATTCACCTGGGCTCTGGAGTCATCTAGGTTTTGGCAGGCCCTCTGTAAAACTAGAAGCCCATCTTTCTGTGTTTAATGGGGATGGTAATGCCTGTGTACAGCAATTAGAATACAGCAAGCAGGAGAGGTAATGCCTGAGTGGGGCAGCTAGGGAAAACTGCCCTGTGTGGAAGAGAGACAAAAGGGAAGAAGAGCTCATGCCGGTACCTGCAGACATTCAGAACGGGTTACAGCAGATTGAGAGCAGTGGGTAGTTGAAAGCGCTGTTATTTTTGGCTGGAGCAGTTTCAGGGTGTTACAGTTTTTGCCTCAAGCAGCCCTTAATGTGCAGTGATGTTCAGACCAGTCTAGAGCAGAGGCTGAGGGCAGGCCATGGCCCCACCTGGGGCCCAGAACATAATGTAAATAGCAGCATGAACCAGAAGCCAGCCCAGCCTGAGATAAGGATTGACCAGTGCAGGGCCAGTGTATGAGGCTGGGTTGAGTCTGGTCCCAGTGGTCCTGTAACATCCAGGGAAGGAATCCTTTCAAAGTACCCAGTGAGGTCGGTGACATAAACATTAGGTAACATGTACTTCACAAGGAAGGAACAAGTCCTGAGGAGGAGGAGACTGGCTGAAGGTTCCACAGCACACCCGCATACAGCCCAGACCCCATGGCTTTTGCTGTGTAAGCTTCCACCTTGTCCCACCCTACAGTTCTCAGGTCCTGTAAACTGGGAAGCACCTAGGGCAAGGATAAGGAGTAACTTTTTGGTCCTTAGGGTGGTTGTTGGAGGGAGGGCCAGGTAGCAGCTCTCAGGGTCCAGGCTTGACTTGGGTGAAGCTCCAGACAGAATCTGAGGCAGGGTGCCAACCTCATGCACCGCATCTGTACCCCTGGCCCGCATCTCTCGCTTGCTTCAGCCTTGCCCCACCTTAAAGGAGCTCGCAGACCAAAGCAGACACAGGACAGAGGGGTGGAACTTCAGAGGAGGGAGGAAACAATTGGGGACTTTGAGGAATGTCTTAAGAGGTAGCATTTCAAAGGAGAAGCAGGAATTTACCCCGGAGGAAGAAGTAGGGGAGCATGTCTGGAAAGTAGAAGCTACTCCCTTTAGTTGAGTGTAGTGTGTGGGATGAGGCTGGAGGAGGTGGCAGTACTTACCTACAAACTGAACCCTGGAGAACCGAGTCTTCACAAGCTGCAGGAATGGAATTATATTTGTATCCTGCTGCCAGGAATGCTGAGCCACTGTGGGAATCGAGGAGGGCTATTAATCCCATGGCTGACAAAGCCAGCAGCTGCCATGAGGGTGGACTGGTCAGACAAGGATGCACTTTGGCCTGGGAATGTCAGGGTCCCCTGGCTGTCCTGAGGGCACAATGTCAGATTGGAAGGATTAACAAGCCCAAATCCCTCCCACAGGCAGCAGAATCTGAGCACCCAGGAGTGCTGGAACCTTCCCTGCAGACCAAGATCTCCCGTCTGGGGTTAGGGTAGCACCCTGGAGGGGATTCCAGGAGGTTCAGGGCCTGAGTGAACGCAGGGTTTTTCTGTTATGACTTCCAAGCTAGGAACAGCCCCTCTGTAGTTGCAGGGTTGGATTCCTCAAAGAGCAAAGAAAAGCATTCTCAAATGTGATCACAGGTCTTATGTGATAAAGTTCTTTTGGTGACAAATAACTCATGGAGTCAGTTGGGAATGGTTTCCCAAGGATTCACATTATGATGGAATCATTGGGAGCCCCAGTGCACAAACCTGGCCTTGCAAGGACCCAAGAGACACCAGCAGGTCCAGCCTTGTGGACACGGATTGTACCAACTAGGACTCCAGGTCCCTGGGCAAGAAAGAACATTCCTCCAGGGCGCTTGCCCACATGTCTACTTCTCTCTGGGTTTCTCTAGTTCTCCGTCCACTACTCGTGAACTTTCTGGCCCTGTAAAGCTACACGGAACCTCCTCATGACTTGGGTGTTCTCATGGCACCCTGTGACCATCAAGCTTCTGTTCCTGCTGGTTAATGCTCAGTTCTCCAGACTTCCTAGTTGAGATTCCTAAGAAGGCATGTCTGATAGACTCACACTGGTCTTGCAGCATTTCTATCAGGTTGATTTTTTTTCACTTCCAGCACCATGAGCTCCAGTGGCAGCTCCAGTCAAATGTGGCCAAAGGTGGGAGAGGGGCGCAGGGGGTGCGGAGTGTTACAAGGGATTTGAAACATGGCTGCCAAAGGCTACCTCCCAATAGGGATTTGTGATTGGAGCAAGGGAAAGTGACGCTTGGAAACATCCAGGACAGGGTGTTTTCACTGGAACCTATTTTCTGTGTAAAGGACATCTGCGCAGCAGCCTCCTTGTATAACCAGGCAGTCAAACAGCAAGTGGAGTCTGCTCTACTGTGAGCGCCCAGCACTTCAGTTACCCTGTGTGGGAGGCAAGAGGACAGGACGTGGGCCCTGCTGAAGAGATCTTAGGGTCTAACAGGGGAGGCACAGTTTGCCTTCAGGAAGCTACTGGGGGTTACCTGATAAAGAGGTGGCCTTGCACGGTTGTGGTTAGAATATGTGTGAAAGGTTGTTAGTGAAGGTTTCCTGGGAGGATGCAGAGTGGACGAGTTCCTGAGTTAAATAGTATCCTCTGGGCCACAGGGAGACCCAACTGGTGGAGCCAGATGCAGACTCAAGAGGAGCATTTCGTGTGAAAGAAAAATCAGACTGTGGTTAGCAGGCTATAGATGACACAAGGGACATCAAGGAACTAAGGATGTGGAGAAAGTCAAGAAGATGATGTCTGAACAAAATGTAAATGTCAATAAAGAGAAAACCTAAAAAAACAAAAATTATGGAGTTGAAAAGTACAATAACTGAAATGAAAAATTCACTAAAGGGATTCAAAGGCAGCCTTTGAGCACACAGAAGAATCGTTGAACTTAAAGATAGGACAAGGGAAGAACAAGAAAAACAGATTGAAGAAAAATGAACAGAACCTGAGTGACCTGTGGAACACCATGAAGAGGAACAACATATACATTGTGGGAGTCTCAGAAGGAGAGAGAGAGGGAGAGAAAAGGGCAGGGAGAATATTTGGAGAAATAATGGCTGAAAATGTCCCAAAGTAAATGAATGAAGCTCCATGAACATCCAAGAGGCTTCAAGCTCCAAGTAAAATAAACACAAAGATCCACCAGACACATAGTCAAACTTCCGAAAGGTAAAGAGAACTTGAAATCATCAAGAGAAGCAACTCATAACATACAGTGCCCCGATAGCATAGCAGGTTTCTCATCAGAAACCTTGGAGGTCCTGCAAGAAATGTTCAAGGGACTCCTGCAGGGTGAAATGAACACTAGACAATAACTCAAAGCCATAAGAAAAAATAAAGATCTCAATAAAGGTAAATACATGGAAAATTATAAAAGCTAATATTATTGTAACAGTGGTTTGTAACTCAGTTTTCTACGTGATTTAAGAGAGTAATACATTAAAAACAATCTAAGAGCTAGTATTATAGTTTTTGTGTTATCTTTTGGGGCACTGCGCTGTATAAAGATGTAATTCTGTGATATCAACAGATACGGGTAGGGATAGAGCTGTAAAGGAGCTTATGTTAGTGGAGAGTGTATAAATTCAAATCAGAGTGTTATAACTTTAGGATGTTAAATGTAGTGCCCATGATGACTACAAAGAAAACAGCTCTAGAATATATACAAAAGGAAATGAGGACTTCCCTGGCATTCCAGTGGTTAAGACTCCATGCTTCCAACGCAGGGGGTACTGGTTTGATCCCTGGTCGGGAAACTAGGATCCCACATGCCATACCATGCGGCCAAAAAATAAATTAAAAAAAAAATGGAAATGAGAAAAGAACGAAAGCATTTAACCTCAAAAAAAAATCCACTAAATGGGAAAGACAACAGTAATGCAGGAAATGAAAGACAAAAAGCTGAGGCATACAGAAAGAAACAGCACAACGACAAGTCCCTACTTGCCAGTAATATTTTAAATGTAAAT